TTCGTATGTTGTATCAAAAGACATTTTCTGCTTGCCTTCCACAGGCTCTTAATATTTCTTTGTCCCAGTGAAAAGGTGCAATCAGTTGAAGAATGCATGGAAAAACATGAAAAAACCTTCCTGTCTGATTGGATTTGTGCAAGCTACTCTCTTTCCTCTAGTCCATGGATGGCGTTCATTCTTTGTGTGTTCTTGTACAAAAAATATTATACTGAACTCTTTTTTATTTTTTTTCTTCTTTCCTGTGATATGGTGGTTTTTTTATCTGTGGAGTCATGGATTCCCCCCCACCCCCCAGCATGGTAGTCTTCCTTTATGTGAGAAGCTGTAATAAATGAGTTTTTACTGGCTACCCCCACTACTGACTGTGTTGTGTAAATATGATACTGCTGGCCGTTTTGGAATTATGCAAAGACTTAGCTAGGCATAGACTACTAATGTGACATTCATTCAAAAATAACATAGTTAAATAGCAAGTTTATAAATCTGAATAGCTGTATACATTTTTTTAATAATTCTAATAGAATCTGTGGGAATTTGTGAGGTACAGACCAACCTTACTCTTATGAAGAAACCTATCCAAATTGAATTCAAGAAGGATGGCCTGAGCTACATGGAGAAACTCTTGCTTAAGAAATACAGAAGGTATTGTTTAAGTTGCTGGTACTAATGAAAGAAGTCAGAAATACTTAATAGCATTAACAAAAATTCCATTGAAACTTTTTAAGTATTAGATATATTATCACGAGTTAAGGTGACTGTATACAGGGTGCTTTATTTTAATAAAATAACCATTATAACCAGACTTGATGACTTAATATTTCAGAATTACTGCAGAGGTAGTATTTGGAGGGATTCTCTTTGCTATCAGTTTATTGTAGAATTTGAAGACTGGTAATGATACTTGGTTGCTTGATTTTAGGGCATTTGCTACAGGAGTTTTATAGAGAAGAGGAAGTACGATCTTCAGAATACTTTTATAAACATTATAGAGTTGTTTTGTTAGTCCCTGAGGTGCGAGGTCATCTCAATGAAATTAGGAAGAGTTGCTGCTTTTCAGCAGCAGTTAATACTTCTGCAGTAAGTAGTGTGGTGTGGTTTGGTTTGGTTTTTTTTTTGACTGTGACATTATCTATAAAAAAATGATGACTTTTTAAGATGGATTTCTTTTTCTTTTTTAGAACTCCTGTTGATCAAATTTCTGGTAGTTGCACTAAAGATTTAAGGCCTGTGCAAACACTGAGTGTACATCAGGCTGTGATTGGAGGAGCGGGAGAAGGAGATGAATATGACGATGATGTAGATGACTTAACAGGTGTAATAGATTTCTGTTTATTGAATCTAACTATTAAATACTTTTTCTTGGGATTTTTTTTTTGCGATGATTGCTGAACAGTTACATACTTAAGCAGTTTCTGCTTAAAGAAAGTAAAAATAATGAAAGGAGAAATTTATGGTACTTCATAATAAATAAAAAGTTTGCATTTTTGTAAGTGTATCTTGAACAGGAAAAAATGACATGCATCAAATTAATTATATTTCGTAGTTGAAGAGGTGAAGAGATATTGGACATCTGTTTTTAGAGAGGAAGTACTCAACACTATTTCTGAAAGTGCAGAGTCCTCTTTGAAAATTGAGTTCCTTGATGACGTAAGTATGTAATAAAGGACTTCATGAATCTTCACAGTGATCTGAACTGATTTGTTTAAATGTTGTTCTGTTAAATATTTAAGTAGCAACAGTTAAATAATTTCTAATGAAAAAAATATTGGCACATTGTTTATCACTTGCAGACAAATGTGGAAAATTTATCTTTCCAAAGGTTCCCTGTAATTTTTTCCTGTTGTGTCCAGGGACCCTTACTGTATAGAAATTATACAAAAATAAAATCTGCAGCTTTTAGTCACTTGAGTTAATGTTTTTTTGAATTTTAATCTATTGCTGAATATGGGTTTTTTTGGTTTTGTTTTTTAATTAGTCTTATGGCAAGGACTTGGAAGAATCATCTAACTTTTTGGTGATGGAAGCTGGGGCTATGGGAATGAATAAGCAAGGAAAAACTGAACCACTCAAGCAGTGTGGAAGGTATTAGAAATGCAGAGATTATTTGGAAGAGAAAAAGGAATAATCCTGTCTTCTGATTTAGTTACATTCCTAAGAAACAGGCGCTTTTATTTGCAGACAGTCGTACTTCATATGAAAGAGGAGAATCCTTGATTGTAAATTGTTTTAAGGCATGGTTAAGATAGATGTCTTCTCATCCTTGGCACAAGACATAGACTATGCCAGTATCATGACAGTTACTGCTTTCCCTTCCTTTCCATTTCTTCCAAGATCCTGTCTGTGATTGCTAGTTTTTGTCCTTGAAAGTTTTCATTTGAGTGACCTAGTGATTTGATGACTAGTTTGTAAGACAGTCTAAGAACAGTTTGGCAGTTAACAGGCATACGACACGTTTACCATTAAAGTTAGTGAATAGTAAGTTTGTGTCTTCGATTTTGTCAGTGAGCCACCAAGGTATATTAATTGCCTGTATCTAGGGAGACATCACTTTGAAATGTCTTTATTTTATTCGCTTGATCACTCCAGTGTTAAACCATGTAAGATGTATTTCTTTATATGTACATATCCTGAATTACAGGTAGAATTTCTCTTTTGTATGCTCTTATCTCAGTAGGAGCAGGGACTAGAATACAGACAAGTCTGTAATTGGTCATTGTTGTGTACTATTAAGATACTCTCACTGACTAATCTTGTAATTCCAGGCAAAACTAAGTCTTCTAATAATTAATGATACATGTGCAATTCTTCTGATCTCCCAAAATTTATTTATGATGAGATGTGATCTGTTTTTTGTTATATTGTATTATTCTGGTCTTTCCTCCT